CAAGAGACGCGAATATATATAAAATATTCATTAGCCAATAGACAATTGTGATACACTTCTAGATATATTTATATCAATCGATTTTACCCTTGCAAATATACAGCCATTCGATCAATTTGAATTTCCAAACCAACACTTACGTGCACTATGGCTGCTTTCATCAATGTGACATCATGGAGTGTTAAAATCGTGGAACTATTGATGAATACAATCGGTACATATGAAAGTAAGTGACCCGTTTTTCAAGACTCTAAATAATAGGTGTCTTTGAGTGAGACAAATTTTATGCATGAAACTCGCTAGAGCAATTGGATTTGTTCATCATGAACAAGAAGAAAAGAATTTTTGCTCAGTGATCCATTCAATACATAAAATTATCAAATAAAAAGTAGCTAAGAAAATTAAACTATTCATATAGGTTGTCTTCATCTATCTCGAGAAAATGTCATGTTGCACGAACAATTGTTACAAATAGATCAGCTCACTCAAGAAAATCACATGTTACGTAATGAAATAGCTCGAGTTCGTCAATCGAATCGAGAGAATGTGATAGCACATGAACAAATCTATGAACATGATCCACAATCTGAAGACAATCACATAAGAAGAGAGATGGCAGTAGAAAATTATCCGCAATCTAATAAGAATGATCGTATAAACAGATCAGTTATGGTTCAAAATTGTCAAGAAGCTGAAGAAAATGCGGTATTACATGAAGAAGTGGCTCGATATCGTGACAAACATGCTGAACTTCTCGAACGCTTCGCAAAGATCAACGAAGAAATGAAAAAGAAAAAAATTGATTCTTTCGAAGCTCTTGTTCAACAAGACAAGGCAATGATGAAAATTCTGATTGATCTTGCTCGATCAACCGAGCCGATTCCAATGGAAGGTAACAACATTGGATTATTCGGTTCAACATCCACTGGTAAATCTACTATGCTTAATAGTTTACTTGGAAAGAAAGTAGCTGAAACAGGTGTCGGTGAAACAACAACTAAAATTACACCTTATCAAGGTATGCAATATACATTATGGGATGTTCCTGGTCGAAATGATGAAATCAACTATCTCAGTATGGAATATATCTCATTCTTCAAAGGTCTAACAAGACGTTTGATTCTTATTCAAGCAACAATAAAAGAAAACTCAAGTATGATGAAGTTGTTGGATGAGATCGGATTACGATATGATATTGTCTTCAACAAATTCGACAAAGTGGATGAAGAAGAACGAACGGCTATCCAGCAACAGATTTTCTCTGAAATAAAAAATCTTGGCTTGAAAGGAGTGGATAATGTGTTCTTCATCAGTGCAAATCATCCTCAAATGTTCGCTGATTGGAAGTTGATAGTCGATTATCTGAAACATTCGAATAATTGAACAATAAATGTTTGAAAAATCTGAATTTGTAATCTCACATGGTTAAAGAAGTTTTATCCTCTGGGATGACTTTTTTAGAAGACTGAATTTTTTCGATGTTTAGAATTAGCATTCAATTGTGAATTCATAATATCATAGAGACTCTTGTCTTTGCTCACCTATTTAGCTGTATGCCTTCCTTATTTCTGCATTACTTTCTAAGTGGGATTGTTTCAGAATTACTTCTTAGTCATACCGACTTTACACTTTGAACAGTTGGATATAAATCGGTACAATATGTTTTTGACACAATTTTTCATATCAACTCTTGGACCGTCGCGAAGATGTCACGTTTGGGAGAGGGCAGGGAGATATACAAGTCATGGAAGAAATTTGCTGATGATAAACGAAAATTTAACAGGATTGGGAACGATCCTTGCTCTTGTCCACAACAGCCTTCATCAAGTCAACACAAGTCTAGTTTGTTCATCTCTCATTTTAAATAGCCCAAATACACCCACGATCAAGTTGATTTCTGGTCTATCCGTCAGTGTAGTTCATAAATTGCAGAGGAGTTTTGAAAACTCAATCCAAATGACTGATCTTTTTCGGAGAAACAAACTTTTGTATCCATTTCTATTAAGTAAAACTAGAAAAGATTTCATAGTTATGTTAGAAAGGAGTCTTTTTTAATTCATATTTGAGCAGTATACGTATTTTTATTATACTCATTGTTCATTGACATGATCAGATAGTCCAAAGACAAGGAAAGAACAATATTGTTTTTTTTTGATAATAAGTACTATTGAGGTTTGTTGAAAAATCGTCGATTTATTGTGTTCTATTCAAATGTCCACAAAGTCACTGGTTAATTGCAACTAATCACCAAAATGACGAGATTTTGACGACATGCGTGTTTCGTTTAATATATAAATGAATCTACAAATTCTTTCGAAAAAAAGCTACTGTGGCACGAAGACATACTATATGAATTCATATTACTTTGGGAATTTCCAAAAAAATTAACTTCTATTTATTTTTGGTGCATTATATCCACTACTGCTAAAAGTAATTTCTTCAATAAAGATATAATATCTCTTCAGCAATTGATAAGGTTAATGGTTTTTAATTTGAAATCACTATTTCAGTGACGATAGCCGGATCACCGAATAGTATGAGCCAATATTAACCGGTACAAGGCACTATAGGTCGGTATAAGTCTAATACCCGTAAAATCGGTATAAACTGGTAATCGGTAGCGCAATTACTAATAAGTAACTGTGAAATTATGACTCACTGGCACCGTTGCATCGCTAAGCCTAGTAACCTGCTGACCATGAGCTATTTGAGTTACTGATACTAACTAGAGACTGACCATTTAGAAACATGTATACTCATATTACAAAAAAGTAAAAATCAATAAAAACTAACAAAATAGACTAACTCCGATGTCCTATCAATTGAAAGAACAGCCAAATTGGTCTGATTCCACATATGGATCTCTTTCTATTCATGAAGTAATATGTGAACCATTCGTTTTCTAGTCCTCATCGCATACTTTTTGGTAAAACAGAAAAACAACCTCTCTTCATCTATTATTCTGTAATAGAGTTTTATTTGAATGTAATCACAATGCAAATATTGAGTTTTATTTACTACAAAGGGACTTCATTGATAGGCACTCAAATTCGTATAATAAATGTTTTCCTTCTCTAGCATTTGCACAAAGTAACGGAAAAGACTCTGATGAGAAATCCGTTTGACTATTATTCTTAAAATGGAAATGTACACATGAAAGAATTGGATTAAAAGTAAATCTAGTACAATGACAACTTCAAAAGAACAATTTCATAGAAATAGTCAATATGAGAGACATCAAATTCACGATGTCAAGTAATTCACCATTTCAAGCCAACCAGGAAATTGTTCTGGATTCCGAGCACTAACACACCATACGTTATGAACACCTTTGAATTGACCATCTTGAATTTCTTCTAAAATTTGGCTTAAAAATGATTCTCGTTCTTCCACTTCAATTGAATCAAATTTATTGATAACTATATCATAGTTGAGATTCAGAACGTCCAATAAACATAATAATTTGCTCATCTCTTTCAATGTTGCTCCAATCAAAACCATACGATGAGTTAATCCTTTGAGTAAAGCAATATAAGATTTGTTGAATGATGACATATCATCATTTTTGCCAGGAAAATCATACAAACGATAATCTAGTCCATCATAGGGCGTTATTTCTTTGGTTGTTTCACCTATACCCACAGCGGCTAATTTTGCACCTAACAGTGTATTGATCATGGAACTTTTACCTATGGAAGTTATTCCGAAAAAGCCAATATTACGACCAGTCAGAGTAAGAGAAGGTACTTCTTTAGCCAGAGCATAAAATTCTTCGATGGTTCTTTCTTGATATTGATCTAAATCATTTTCTGTCTCGAGTTTCTCCTTGTTGTTCAGTTCTTCTTCTAGAGCTTCAATCGCCAATCTCAATTGTTCTTGTTCGATTTTTGCTCGTTCAAGTTCTTCTTGTGTCCGTGAATCATGATGCTCTTCCGTCCTAGGAGTAATTTTTTTAAACACTTCCTTCGTACCAGATTCGACAATTTTTTTCGTAAAATTAGACACGTCATTCACAGCACCGGTAGTTGCATTAAATATAGTTGCAGTTGGATTCGCTACTTCTTTTACAGTTGAAGTGACCGTGTTGCCAACTTTTTGTGCAGCTGAACTAACGGCATGTTCGACAACGGATGAAGCTGACAAAAAATAAAAATCAATGACATTCAAGATTGACAAGGAAAAAATTCGACAAAAACTTACCTCCACCCATCTTCGCTTATGTTGCTTGTAATATGTAGCAGAAAACAAATCGAATGAAGTATATATCGGTTTGTGTCTGTCCTTCTGATTCACAAAAATAAGTCATCATACAATGGACTGACATGACGTTTGTGTTTCTCATATATATGTTTTACTCATATGTTAACATCATCATTGACAATACGCGGTCGGATGAATACTATTAATCATCGTCGATGACAATACTTACGTTGCAGCAAAACAAAAAGTCATTTATCGTAGTCGTAGATGTATATGAGATGATGAGCAATGCATCGACATTCTATATTCTCCATCGTTCATCGGTTCAAGTGAGCTGAGGTTCACAATCCGATCTAATGTACTTCACTCACTAGGTTTACTCAAAATTTGCATTCATTCTCACTCGCTCGAGCTCGATCCATTTGAAGAAGAACTCTAACCAATCTTTAATGTTTTGAATACTGATGACGAACAATTGACCGTGCTTCGAACCCATATTCTCACTTATCTAGTTTCTTATTCTGGCAACAACGTTCAATTTCATGGTTAGTTACGTTCAAATTTCAACTTTCTCAATCTATTTTCCGTTGTATCATGTTATTTACTAATGAGAAAAACTCAAAATTTACTTGGTGATCTGAAAAGTCTTATACTCCTTCATGTCATGGGTTTATCAGTGTCAATGGTAATGATCGAGTTCTATTCACCTAAGATCAATAGTGTCGTACAACAAGGAACACATCCATTTTCTATTATCTTTCTACAGATCATGATGGAACTACGTAGTTTGATTAACATTGAAAAAATTATGACGAAATCATTATTTTTTCAATTAAACCTACTTCGTGAGCTAGAGATCGACAATATATGTTGGAATACTTACTTTTTCCTGACAATGGAGATGTTGGCATTATCAGTTAAAACGACTAGACATATTCGACTCAAAAGAAAGCTCTCATTGTCAAACTAACAAATTTAAAATATTAGCGACTATTGGCGTACACGAACTGAGATATTCAAATTATAAGGTATCTACAACCTATGCACAATACCCACAATGAAAAATCTCGGAAGAACTTTTTCTTCTTTCTTCTTCATCGCTGGATAGAGCTCATCGATTTGCATGAGAAAATATATGTTTCATATTTTAAGAAAAGATTTTAAATAATCTTATCGGAGAAAAAGGCCCAAGTTACCATTATTTCTAAATATATAATAGGAAATAGAGCCGAAATTCTGATCTTTGTTAAATTATGTTTAAATCTTTTTCTAAAATATAAAACATATAATTTCTAACGTAACTCGATGAGCTCTATCCAACGAGCAAGAAAAACGATGCATTGCGGGTATCGAGTATACGCTGTAAATACCTTAGAATTTGAATATCTCGGCTCGCGCATACCAATAGTTGCTAATATTTTAAATTTGTTAGTTTGACAGCGAGAGCTTTCTTTTGAGCCGAATATGTCTAGTCTTTTTAACTGGCAATACAAACACCTCCATTGTAAGTTAAGCCCTCGCTTCTACAATGGCATTGAGTCGAGAAAGACATGAAATTCAAATGGTATCATCACTTATGACGCACCTAACAGAAGTGGTCCCAAATGTTATGAATGTAATACTGTCGATGCGAGTCGAATCCAAGATGACAGTGGTCAATGATGTCGTTTGAAATATAATTTATTTGTTGTAAACAGTTGCTTCCGAACGTTTGATCAGTAATTGACAGAATCAAATCATTGAACCAAGCTGCTGCAGCCACAAATGACTTCATATTGAATGTTACAAGTGAACCAAATGTGCCAAGACTGATAGACATGGAATTTCCATGGCTATTGAAAGCTATATTCTGTCCACTACTCGCGCAGTAACATATCCGCTCGATGGCTGACCTGAGGATGCCAAGCAGAGTATGTTTGTCCAATTGAGACCATAGTATGTGGATGATGCAGCTGAATTTGCACAAGTGAGTTTGTCAAAATCAATTAATGCATATCCACTTGGATAATCTGCACGTGAAACAAATATAGCTAGAGATTACACTTCATGGCAACATACTAGTTACTTTCCAGCGTAAAATAAAGCTCTCATTAGCGTGTATTTGTAATGCAATAATAACAAAGGAAAAAAAAACATTACATAATATCAATTTTTCTTCCATTTGTCCAATAAGGTCGTGTGTTTAAGTCTACTACATGTTTAAGTTTCAAGTACAACTATGAAGATTATTTTTTTCTCATGTGAATTGTGCTCGTATAAGATATTGCTGTGTTCGGGTGTGGGTGTGGATGTACGCGTCTTCTCTTACATTCACACCCACACCCACACCCATCCCGTTTGCTTGTCTTATTCGAGAGTTATGAAGGGCTTCCTGGGAACTCGGAAACCGTCCCATTGGCCTTTAGGCAAGTTGGGAGAGATAAATACAGGCGTCCTCGAGTACTCTGGCTTCGATAGTTATATTTTTGACAAAGATACAAAGACAAGCAATCAAGATTGTTGCAGTAGGATAGATCGAGAGGTTTTGAAAATCGTGATTGATTGTCTTTGTGTATTTGTCGAAAATCTCATTCTCAAAAAGAGGTCACAAGAAAACCCGCGTTATTTGTCCATGAACAGCCAATCAGATTTGTCGGTTTTATATCCGATATTTTTTTAGGTACCAACATTGGTCGAAGCAAGTGTCGATTAAATTCGAGTTCTTTGATTAACGTCTACTCTCCATGATGGATTTCTTCATTTTACATCGAACAGTTACGATACTTACTGGCATCCAACACGGATAGAAATCTAACGCAAAAGAAATCGAATATAATAAGGATTTGTAATAGATCGCAATAGTTGTACTAACCCAAGAGCTGAAAGCAATCTGACCAAAATGAAAAATGTCATCGATGCAGTCGTTTCGCGATCTGTAAATTATAAACTAGGATCAATCTGAAGCTATATTCTTTTATTGCTTAACAACCTTGAATAGATAATAGTGTCAGATACTTTCTTTTTAAGTCAAGTCGTTTTATTCAAGATTCTTAACAAAAGTATAAAATTTCGAAACTCAAATTTCGTTTCATTAATTTTTTCACGAAGTCACACCCTGTACAAGTGTTGCACGTCTTCAGTGGAAACATATTTTGACTTTCGAACAGAACAAAAACTATATTCGAGATTAAACACTGTTGAAGATGCTTACAGAAGTGAATGAAACAATAGTTGTCGATAGAATTTTGTTCGAGACCTGTGAATAATGACGTGAAAATAACGATCAACAACCATCTAAACAGTATATGAATGACAAGAACCAATGTAACAACAGAAAATGAATACTAAAAGAGCAACTTTTCTGACTGAGAAACCAACATCTATCTCACACACGTTGTTACAACATTATGGATTGAGTGACTTCTATCAGTTGTAGAGAAAGTACAGAATTCAAACAAATAAAATCATAGTTCTGATGATTCTCATTTCGCCAATCAGAAAATCTAAGTAAAGGCCGTCGTTATTTCAATTAGGCGAATAAATATCAAATCCTGTCTTAATTACAACTTACTTCAACTTGATATCACATACTTGATATTGATTTTTGTTGACAAAACTAAGCTTTTGATATGGGTGTGAATTTGGGCGTTGGTGTGTGGTCGTGAGTAGTAGGGTTTCTGTTCCCTTCATTCCATTCCAACACTCACGCCGAAACCCTACAGCCACACAGAAAAGTGAATTAGATTTTTGAAAATATTAACTTAATACAGAAAAAACCAAAAATTTCATTTTGCGCGAAACTGTCGATGAACCATGAACGTTGCCCATTTTTAATTCGACATGCTAAAACGAGTATAAACAATCTTTAGAATCTTTCAGAACTCTATTGTTTGCTGTTTTCCTCTTGATTT